GTTACCTATTTTAGCAACTGCGAATCGTGTTTCACTGGGCATCCTGCTTGTATCAAATAATACACGAACAGTTAATGGAAGGGCGTTTTGTGTGCAGAACAGATGCAGCTCCTCGGTAGCGTTGGCAATTTTATGGGAGACAGCGTCACCATTCAGAGGGGAAGATCTGTAGAGTTGTACATCATTTATGGGAAGGAGTGGGGTTTCTGGCGACTCAAGGCGGAGCTCAAGGTGGGAGATACCTACTAGGTCCTCATCACCCCAGTTGGAGAAGACTTCAATCTGCAGGTACTCCAGTACGTGGGATGGCGAGGGAGAGGAAAGAAGAGTGACGCTACTCGTGGAGGTCTTGCTATGACAGGTGTAAAAACCCTTCTCACTGTCAGTGTCTGCGTCACCAATTCCCCCGTCGTGGACCATGTTTTCGCCTCCGCTGTGTGTACAGTGTTCAGCTGGACCGGAAACCGCCGAGTCTCTACCATCAGCATTTTCACCGTCCATGTCAAGCTCATCAGAGGAGTATTGGGTCGGTGAGAAGGAAAAAACCTCACCCGACTCCGCCCGAATTTCAAATTTTTTACTTGTGGTCCAGACCTTCCGAGCTCGATCCATACTGGGTGCACTTACACTTCTGATAGCTGCAGTGGCAGGGGATGCGACTGTGGGTCGCCTTTTGGCCGATTCCGGACCGTGGAGCTGTCTTGCATCTGGAATGTTGAAGTAGAGGCAAAAGTCACGTTCACGTTGTTCTCGCAGGGCCTGCAATTTTGACTTCTGCCGTCGTAGCTGCTGTAGCTGTTGTTGCAGACGAGACCGTCGGCCGAAACTGCTGCCGTCTTTCTGTGGTGACGGCGGCACGAATTCGGAGATGGCGTTTTTCCAACTCATGAGTCCAGATCAGCAGTTTGCAGGGCGCATGCTGAACTAAAGGGTGAAGAAAGTCAACAAAGTCACAAAAGCAATCAGCCTGCTAATAAGCAATTTCAATGTCAAAATTTCATTTCTACGTTGCTGTTAAGATACATTAATTTTATTCGCAAAACTCGGCTTTTAAATTGCTTGTGCTCTTATCTTCTTGGTAAACAGTGGGTAGGTCTCGGAGAATATAGTTTGCACAGCCCTGTTACATTTTTAATTTAATATTTCAATGGCAGACGGGTTTAGTCAAGAGGAGAGAGGTTATTCAGCCCCCAAAAATGCAGATGCCTTTGATTCGGCGGTAAAAATAAAGTTGGTCTACCACCTTAGATACCCCTAGTCCTGTGGTTTCTATTAGTTTTGTTAGTTTTACTTTCGTTTTAGTTTAATCAAGTTTTTAGTTCATTATTTAGTTTATTAGTTTAATTTTAGTTAGGTAACACTAAAGTTTGATAAATATATTTCAATAACTACTAGATACTAAATAAAGAAATTAAACTGGGCAAAATTTAGGAAAACTAACTAAACTAACCCACAGTATAACTAAATTTAAATTAATAAACTAAACCATACCAATACTACCGGTCCTGTGAGACAGAATTCTGGGGCTAGGGGTATCTAAGGTGGTAGACCAACTTTGTTGTTACTGACCCGGCAATTTTGCTTAAGAGTACCGATTCAACTGTGTGAAATTTCATCCGTATAGTGTTTGTTAGCGCAACGCACTCTTATGTGCGCGGACCTGAGTCATCAACTCTGCCAGCCCTTTTAGGGCGCTTCCCGTATTACTAGGTAACCATGACGACGTCGGAACGTGTGGTGTGACTTTGTGAAATCGACGATTAAGGCTCCACTAACTTATACTGTTCCTTTATTGCGTTCGTAACTAAGTTCTCCCTGCATGTCATGAAAACTGCGTGAAATACAGAAACTGAAATCTTCTTTAAACTTCATGCACGAACAAGTTATCTCTTTTGGATTGGAAAAAATATATAAATGAGATTTTTGGGACCGAGAAATGGTTTTTCGTACGTCATCGTATCTGTCCACTTATTGATACTGCATATGAGCTAACCAATATGGTCCATATCTATTATAAAATTTTATGAGCTCGATATGGCTTCTTCTTAATCACTTAAACAACTGTATGACTTTTCCTATGCGGAAACTCTATAGCAAGTGCGAGTGCAGCTGAAAGTCGGAGTCAAGATTATTCGAGGGTTAAAAGCATTTTTGAACCAAAATTTACCCGGTCTTTAAACATAAAATTTGATTTGATTTTCTACTAAATGAGTGCAGGAATAAATATTTTTGTGCGCGTCTTTTGCAAAATATATTTGAATTTATATGGGCGTATAAAATCAATGTATAAGACTCTTACTACGTAGGCAGTCCTTTTTAACATGTGTTTTTTTTCCAGACAACTGGAAATACGTTCATTCCAAATCCAGCTTACAAACATTATATATAGTAGTAGTTAATTGTACACCGATCTGTTTTACCCATCCTGATTGATGCTTTGCGAGCTCGAATGTATCCAAGTGTGTTTGCAAGGCGACTAATTTTAATGTTAATAATTAAGTTTCAGTAACTTCTATTATATACTCCCGATCTAAAACCGAGAATAGAGCGAACTCGTGGCTCAATGCGGCCCTGTCACACCCTTTATCGTATCCACCGACTGCTGACGACGTGGCGGGTTCCTCGGCTCTTGGCACAG